AACTATCAAAAGTAGAAGAATATAGAAGAGATATTGGCAAAAACCTGAAAGCAAGATGTACGCCTTGCAAAATTTACACAGCCACAGATTGTGCACATCCAATCAGATGGCATTGCCATGTTCTTGCTAAAATAACCAGATCTCATAGTATTTTCTGCAGCAAAAGATCCTCCTGCACCCCCAGTTGGCTTACTACTGCAATACATAATAGATGAAATAAAAATAAGCTAGAGCAAAAAATAAATCATGAACTCGCTGAAGCCTACATTCAATAAAAATGACAATAAGACCTGAAAAAAAAAATTCAGAGAAGCCTGATTCTCATAGAACCCAGTATTCTGAACTCCAGGCAAGTAAAAAATAAATAACATAAAGGAAACCTAGACAATTAGACAAATGCTAGCCTTATCCAATTCAGTGATAAATCTAAATTATAGTGATAAACTGAACAAACCTGTACTCAAAGAAAAGCTTCCTGCCATCAACAACTAGTCCATCATCACCAATCTTGTCCATCATTGTTTGTGCTGCTCCCTATTTCATCAATAAGAACAATTATACATATCCACTCAGAAAATATAATATAATTAACCAATACAAAGTTTGAAAATTGTGGTTACCACTGAAGGGAAATCAATAAATGCAAAACCGCGTGAAATGCCAGAATTGCGCTCTTTGATCACACGCACATGACGGAGGGGTCCCCATTCAGCCTATAATGAAGCACATTATAAAAATATTTCAAAGTTTATAGCTACTATGTGAGCCACAAGCATTTTAAATAAAATATCAAGCTTAATATTACAAGGATTTGGTAGAGATCTTCTTCAGTGGTTTTTTGAGAAAGACCCTTCACAACTACAGTGGCAGATGGAGCCTGCATGAAAATGTTAAAAATCACTCAGTTCTATTCCCTCATAAATAATGAGTAAACAGAATAGACTGAGACCAAGAAAGAATACCACTGAATAATGCTCACGGCCTCGTTTCTCTTCTCGATCTCTTCGCCTCTCAGACCTTTCATGGCGATCGTCATCATAACTATCTTCTCGATAATTTCGTCCATGGCTTCGACTCCGAGGAGATCTTGATCTAGAATGAGAATCACGCCCACGAGACTTAGACCTATCATGTCTTCTATGAGGACTTTGATCCCTATCCCAACTAGAACATCTCTTGTCACGTTCACGATCACGTGATTCCCTCCTTCTCCAGTTACCCTCTCTTCTACTACCTCTATCATAATCAGAATCATATCGATACCGTCCATGGTCATAATCCCTCTCATAACTATCATCTCTCTTTTGATGAGCCACATTAGACTTGTAGTCATAATCATCGTACACATAATCATCACGCTCACGACTCCCAAATCGATCTGGCCTGTCAATTCCATGATCACGAAGATTACTAACACTACGATAACCATCACGAGATCTATCAAAATCCTGATATGTATCAATTTCATGTTCATTAAAAGCATCCAAGTCATGGTATGACTCATTATATGGTCTTTCATATCGCCTTGATCCCCTATCAATAGGGTAGTCATCTTCATAACTTCTCCTCCTTGATTGAGACCAAAGGCCAGAAGCTGAAGGTGCTGGTGGGGGATAGTCTTCTCTATTGGCAATATCATGGTGAAAGGCATCTCTTGGATAACTGTTATCTCTTGTGTATCGTTCATCTAAAAACCTTTGCTCATCATATGCTCCGCCAACCCTGCAAAAATGATAAAAGAAATGGGATGGAAGAAACCTATGTAACAGAACAAGAACAAAAAGTAAACTTGGACAAAACCACCAAATATGAATGAGAATCCGAGTAGAAGTACAAAAAAAAAACTCACTTAATCACCCATTGGATATACATCAATGCTCTTAAGATTTATGAACGAACAATTCTTCCCAAACATGTTAAAATATTCTTTCCAATGATGATCAAGAGTTATTACTCACCGGAAGTTTGGCTCGTGAACATTACCATAACCCTCCAAAGCCTGTGGATTCAAGAGAATAAGCTATGTCAGCACAAATAGTCAAATGTTCTTATGAGGTTAGGCAAATCCAGTCCACATCCTCAATGCCCCAAGTCTTTCTCTCATTTTTTTCTTTAAAGATGAGATGCCGGAAAAGAAATGGACATTCACATAGCCCTAATAATTTCGGGAATTATCATCCATATAGGTGATTATTAAGGAGGAAACCACAATTACGCTGTTATTATCCCATCCTTGTTGAAGACCATAGCGCCCAGGATCCATTATCGCAGGAAAAGTGAGTCACGAATACACCCTACAAAGCTCTGGATGTTGGATCAAAAGATTCAGGAGCACAATGTTCGAAAACCTTTCCTGTAATATACGCACCAAACAGACATAGTTATGCCATGACGAACCAACACTTAACAAGCCCCATGAATAGACCTTGGCCTCGTATCTAAATTGGAATCCTCATAAATATAATCCTTCCCAGAATTCAGAAGCATCAATCTTCCGATTCCCTTTACAAAAAAAAGTGGACCTTAACATTAGAAACCATAGAGCTCACGCAGCAACAACATAACTCAGTTGCCAAACTCAATCGCAAATACATCAACGCATTGAACATAATGTTTCAAGCGACCAACATGGCAAACGCCAAAGCAAACAGAAAAAGAAGAAATCCACAAAACATCGAAGAAACAATGACTAAATGACGTTATTTCCTACCAAAAGGCGCAGCGACACATGACGACACACGAAACATAACAAGTCTTCAACAACATTGAAAATTGCAATGAATTAGGAAATTCGACGTACATACAATGGAATTGGAAGACTGATTTTGGATCCGATCGACTGAATTGAAGCTATCCTACTTTCTGTTCTTGCTCTTCTCGGTCTCTTCTAGGGTTTCTTCCGCCAGAACCAGAATGCGTTAAAGCCCCGAAAGCATTCGACAAAAAAAAAATGCTTCCAGCTTTCACTACTCTCTTCGCCCGACTCATTACAGAAAAATATAAATTTGCCCTTCTCATTGATGATCGAAATACGTGGGCCGGGCTTCAAACTGTCTATCGTGGGCCCAACTACCAGGCCCAGGCCCAATCTTGAATGTATGTTTTCATAATTATAATCAATATTTTAAGAAAAATCTAATTAGTTACTTTTTAAACTATATTTTAAGAAATTTCGTTTACTTAGTTATAATCTAATCATATTATTATTAATAAATATATTGAAAAAAAATTACGTAAAATATTCGTGGCAATCGAAGTAGGCTTTTATAATTACCTAATTTATATTTTATTATAATTGTATTTAAAGCTATATTAATTTAGATCTTTTAAGACACTTTTTAAAGTTGTACTTAATTAAATTTTAATTTAAAATTGATTTATTACCAATATATAAATAAATAAATAAATATATATATATAATAATAATAATATGCCAATTTTCAATTTTATATCTAATAAGTTTGTGATATTTATAAGTTTATTTTTTATTAAAAAATTAGAAAAACTAAATAAATATCAAATATTTAAATTGGACCATATAGCTACAACCAGAAACAAAATGTGCATTTTTTTTTTGTAATTTTAATTTGATTATATTTAAATTAAAATACAATAGAATTTAAAACAAAAAAATCTAGACAAAAAAATATTATTAATCTACATAATATAAAATATTTATTTCTATTAAAAAAAGTATTATTTATATACTATACTTTAAATTACAATTCTACCTTAAATTGCTATTTGTAAATAACACAATTTATAATTATTAATTTGTTTGAGGAAAGACTCGTGAACTTTAAAAAGATTTAAAAAATCCCTTTTAATTTTTAAAATTATTTAAAAAATACACATTTTCAAAAGTTATATTAATATTCTTTAAATTTTGTTTTTTGAAGAATATAAAAAACACCTTTAAACTTTTTAATGTTATTAAAATAATTATGGGTAATTTTGTTCATAGTAATAAAATTTTTTAAATATTTATTTATAAAAGTTAACGTTATTTTAAAATTTTATAGATATTTATTAAAGTTTTAAGTATATTTTTAAATATAATATTACGGGTTTTTATCTAAATTGTATATAAATGTATTTTTTAAGATTTTTTTTAATTAAAGGTTATTATTGAATATTTTGTTTGAAAAACTAAAAAGTTATTTATTTATTTATTAATTTAGTGTTCAAATTATGAATATTAAATCTAGGGCCATGTGTCCTTTTAAGGGTCGGTACCCCATTAGTACCGGATCTCATGGGCTTACACTCTGCCACGTGTCCTATTTAGGAGTACAATGTATCTCGTTATTGCGGTAAGGTGAATTTTTGATAACGTTATCTTCCGCTGATTGGGCTGGATTGTCCACGTGTCATCTTCTTCATACACTCACACGCTTCTCCCTTTATCCTCATTCCAATGGCATGGCATCACGCTTTTTTCCTTTTCAGACAAATTATTCAATAAAGTCGTTAATTTATTTTCAATAATTGTAGCGATATTCAAAAGATACAAACGAATTAACATTGTGGACGATATTATTTGATTATCAATTTTAAATCGACACATCTTAGTGTATCTTAGTGTTCAGAGAATTAGTAAAAATTGCCTTAAATTGGATTGTCCAGGCCACTCAAATTCTGCCCCTTTCTTAAAAATAAGTAATTGGCAGACAAAGCGAATATGTAAAAATTGCCTTAGTTTGAATTGTTTCGTGCAACTCGAGAACATGAAGTTGAAATCGTTACTAATTGCGAAATTGACCCACAAATTTGGACAGGGCTCAAGACGTAGTCGAGCGCCGACATAGTCCCAAGCTAGAGCAGTCTAATAAGGGAATCGCCGACTGGTTCGTGTTGAAGAAGTTAGACCCATGAACTTTAAATCTCCCATTGTAGCTAAAATGTCAAATGAACCCGAAATCTTAGGGAGGAGTATGAATTTGAAGAGCTAGAAGATATCGAGAATCAAAATAACGACAAGTCAAGTTGAATGGACGAACATCAAAATGTAATATTTTATTGGGCAAGCTACAATATGACCCACACTCTCAGCCCCATTTTAAAACTGAGCGGCAACTTGCAGAAAAATAAAAAACTGGACGGGCTCGACGCAGTTTGCGGACCAAATTCTTCCAGCAACGATCAAGACTCCATTACAGCAACCATCCACCACCAAATCCCCGAAAAGAGCACAGTGGCCTCAACTCAAATGCGCCACAAAAAAACAAACAAAACAACACCCAGTTCATTTCAATCGCCTCTTTATAATACAATCGATCTTCAAAGTTGAATCGAAAGAGAGAGCTCCCTCCCTTGGCGGTTCGTTTCTCCTCCCTGCTCCATTGCTGTTCTTTAGCAATCGTAAGTAATTCTGCTGTTCTTGTTTTATGTAATCGCCTCGCGTTTTTGATTTTGGGGATTCGTTTCTGTTCATATTCTAGTCAAATTTCGAAGAAATCTGAGGATAATCACCATGTGAGTGTTAGGTGTTTGCTGGTCGCGGAGTTTATTTTATGTCCACATAATCGGGTTCTTATATTAATTTATTGTACTCTGTTTTGGCTGTGCTTGTTTTTTAAACTATAAATTTTTGGACGAATTACAGGCGCGATATAAAAGAGAAACTAAGTGGGGAGCTTCCTCCGTGTCCAAGCATTGCTAGGAATTTCTTGGACGGTTCAATCGGATTTAAGTTGCTTTTTCCAACTCATTTTCAATTGGGTTTCTCGATTACTCTGCGATTCGTTATTTCTAGATTCGAATCATCGAGTGAGGAAGTGAAATTTTGAAAATCGATTGATATGTCTTTTGCTTCGTCGTTGGTTGTCTCTTCCAACGTCGAAATTTCGCCATCGAACTTCGGGTTTCTTGATTCAGTTCGAGATGGATCTCAAATTCCCGATTCTTCGAGATTCTTTTCCCGAAATCGAGCTGCGAAAATGATGAAAAAGAGACACAAATGGGGCAATTACTCTCGCTCCTCACAATTGAAGTACCCAGTTATTGCTGCAAGTATGGTGGTGAATCCCGCCGGAGCAATGACCATCTCGTCGGAGCAAAAGGTGTACGACGTGGTTATGAAACAGGCGGCTCTGGTGAAACGGCAGCTGAGGACCGCCGGAGAATTGGATGTGAAGCCAGATATTGTTCTTCCTGGGACTCTGAGCTTGTTGAATGAAGCTTATGATCGCTGTGGTGAAGTTTGTGCAGAGTATGCCAAGACATTTTATCTGGGTTAGCCTTTTTGTTATCATTTTTCTTACTAAAAATTTGTTACTTAAATTCTTGTCTGATTTCATGTCTTTTTGGTCTTCTTTTTAGGAACTATGCTGATGACTCCCGAGAGACAAAAGGCTATTTGGGCAATATATGGTAAGTGGTACTGAACTATTATATTTGAATTTCCGTTGCTTGGCCTTTGTAGCTTTGATCGACATGATGTCGGTGTGCAATCTGTTCGGTTATAGAGCCGACTGTTATTTATAGCTTTTGTTATACATAGTAGAATTTGCCTCCTTGCATTTTCTCTCTCTTGTTGTTTGTATTCATTTAGATTGAATTTATGCGTTGTTGTGCGATCTTAACACAATTTGTACTAAGTTTATCCTCGTTTGTTGGCTTGAAGTGTGGTGTAGGAGGACAGATGAGCTTGTTGATGGGCCAAATGCTTCACACATAACACCATCAGCATTGGATAGATGGGAGGCAAGGTTGGAAGAGCTTTTCCAAGGGAGGCCTTTTGATATGCTCGACGCCGCTTTAGCCGATACCGTTACTAAGTTTCCTGTCGACATTCAGGTCAGCTATGGTTTGATCAACATTGTAGCCATATGAAATCTTGGTACCTCTAGTAGAAATGGTGTTTGGCTATGAAGTTGGATGAAGTCTAATATGTTTCGATTTTTGCAGCCGTTTAAAGATATGATCGAAGGGATGAGAACGGATCTAAGGAAGTCGAGATACAAAAATTTTGACGAACTATATCTCTACTGTTATTATGTTGCTGGAACAGTTGGGTTGATGAGTGTTCCTGTGATGGGCATTGCACCTGACTCGCAAGCAAGCACAGAGAGTGTGTACAATGCTGCTTTGGCTTTAGGCATTGCTAACCAACTTACAAACATTCTCAGAGATGTTGGAGAAGAGTAAGTTCACTGCCCATGTTGACTCTACAGTAATGTTTCCTAAGCTGGTTCATGTCTTAACTAATCTTAAGTCAGCTTGATAGTCGTTAAGAACTTAGAGGGAACTAGTTCAAACCGTTACAACGACATTAGGCAATCAAACATAGTAGGGTCAGACGGCTCTCTCATAACATTAGTGCTACACACACGCTAGCTCAAACATCCACGGATAGGGGTGAAATCAACACATAGTGTAAACTTAATGATAAGTAAAAAAGAACGTCGTAGAACAAGTCCAAACTCTATAACTGTAACAGCCCAAGTTCACCGTTAGCAGATATTGTCTCTTTGGACTTTTCCTTTCGGGCTTCCTCTCGAGGTTTTAAAAGGGAAAGGTTTCCACACCCTTTGTTCTCATTCCCAACCAATATGGGATATCACAATAACGACCAATAACCATTGTTGATTGAAGTGCATAAACAGATGTAAAAGACGTTTCCTTTAACGGGATTTATTTATGGTATGTAAAGTGCTAGAAGAGGAAGAATATACCTACCACAAGATGAGCTAGCACGGGCAGGGATTTCAGACGAGGATATATTTGCTGGAAGAGTAACTGATAAATGGAGGAACTTCATGAAGAGTCAAATTAAACGAGCTCGAACGTTCTTTGATGAGGCCGAAAAAGGAGTGTTGGAGCTTAGTAACGCTAGCAGATGGCCGGTAAATAATCCATCATTTCTTTTACTTTTCTTCTTCATTTTGCTATCCATTTTGATCCAACGGACCATCATTCGTTCTATTAGTCATTGTGCTTGAAATATGAATGGTAGCCATAATGTCTATAGGTGTGGGCTTCATTGCTACTGTATCGGCAAATATTGGACGAGATTGAAGCAAATGACTACAACAACTTCACGAAGAGGGCATATGTGAGCAAAGCCAAGAAAATGATGGCACTTCCAATGGCTTATGCAAGGTCTCTCCTTCGCCCTTCATGAACTTGCACGAAAATTTTGTATGTAAACATGTTCTTTAATTATATAGTTCCTCTCCTTCATTAGTCAAATAAAGTTAGCCACGAAACTAATGGAAAAGAAGCTCAATACATGAGGTAAAGGAAAAGAGAATAGTTTGGGTCGAGGCCCCTAATCAACCCCCTCGGCCTTGACATGAGACCAAGGTTGACATTTGGTCGACCTCTTTAGGGACCATGTTTGTTTGTAGCCATTGAATTTGGTCTCGATTATCTTAAACCTATTTGTCAGTCAGAAAAAAATATCCTAAAAAAGTTTGAATATAAATATTGATTTCATTAAGAATCTAAAGCTAAATATAAATCTCTTGTCTATAAGTATTTGAGAGAGACTTTTTTTTTTTTTTTAATGGAGTAATTTTGTTTGAATTTATGAAATATTGTGAATAGCTTTCTAATTTATATGGTAATTTAGTTATTATTATTACTACGGGTTTACATGGGTTGAACTTAAAATTTCTGGTTGATGATGACTTGAGCAACTCGAACATAGTTTATAACCCAACCTAATTCTCTATTTTCGGTTTGGGTTGGATTTGTTGGGTTGTTCTTTTTTATTTTTATTTATAATTATTTAACGAAACCCTATTTATTATTAATAACTAAAATTTTATATAGTTCAAATATCAAATATTAACGAGCATAGCACACCACTAACATCAATGAATATTATATTCTTTTTTTTTTTTTTTTTTTAAGTAGGGTAAGGTTGAATTGAGTTGTAACCCTAATTTCGGGTTGGTTGGATTGACCATACCAAAAAATAAATCAAACTAAATTTGTCAATTTTTTAAAAAATTCAACCAAATTGAACCTTTATTGGACTTGGGTAGTCAAAATGGCTCGGTATCAAGTTACATAAACACTCATTTTTTCTTAATTCAATAACAATGATGCTCGCCCACACTGTGACACACATATGTGCCACAAGGTAGTTCACTTAGGCCACATGGTCCAAGGGTGGTGGAGAGTTAACACCATGATACTCCTATAGTACATTTTGAGCAATTTTCATTCTACCAGGTGTGTAGACATGATTTTGGTGAGGTTTCATACGGTGTCGTGCATTGTCCGTCCAATGTTCGATTGACACCAAACTTGGCGAACATTCATATTTCATATGGACGAAAACACTCCAAAATATTGTCTTGAAATAATAATCTAATCTTTTTTTTAATTCAATAACAATGATGGTTAGATTCAAACATCTAATCTTTTTGTTGGTTGATGATACGTATCAATTAGTATTGAGTTAAGTCGAGTATGACGCACAAATTAACCAAGTAATGCTATTATTACTAAAATTTTAAGATAGTTTTATTCAAAATAAGAAAACGGCTAATAAAATGGAAAAAATCCGACCGTACACGTGGCTTGATATAAAACGATAGATCTGTAAACCCTAGAAAGCAATTTTAGGGCTTGGAAGCGAACATTGCAGCCCCTCTGTTTCTATATATAAGCTTCTTAGCGATTTAGCTATCACACCAACAATCGTCTTCTTCATGCGGCCCATCTTCACTATGTAGCGTTAGGGTTTTGATTCGCAAGAGGTAAACCATTTTCTTTTTGTAGTGGACTTAATGGCGTCGGATACTGATTACTGGCCTCCGTTAGACTCTGTTTCATTATCGGTTGCTTTGTATTTGCCGCCGCGATAGCAGCTCCGATTCTGTTAACTAAAGAGGCCTTCACGGCTTCCACACGAAGCCGGCCGTTGAGTTTCAGTTTCGTGCTTAAGGTCACTACTACTTGCTATGGATTTAATGTTGCCTTTTGCATTGTTTGATATGTATGGTTATCAATCGTAGATGGAAGTGATGACACTTTCCCCAAATGATCGACGCTGATTATACTGTGCTGGTGTGGTTACCACACTTTTGTCTGATCCATCTCATTCGATTGTGATTGAATTTGAATGTCTTGAATTCTCCATTCTACTTTTTAGTATTCTTCGAAAGAAACTGCCATTTCTCTTTTAATCGTTAGCTGAGTTATTTTTAGTACTTTTGGTCGATTTAACATGACCGTATTCAGTTGCTAAACTGAATAATTGCGATGAAGTTGGAATTGATGATACTTTCCCCAAATGATCGACGTTGATTATATTATGCTGGTGTATATATCACATTCCGTCTGATCCTTCTTCGACGATCTTTTTTCAATTGAATTTTTCTTGTCTTAGTCTTTCGATTCATTGAGTTTCATAGAATTTAATGCTTTATTTCTTATTGTCATTTGATTGCATATGTTTTTATTTACCGTCGTTAATTGAATTTAGTCTCTACTTTCACTATTTGTTTTAAATGTTGTTTGAGATGTATTACTACCAATCGTAGATGGAAGTGAGGACACTTTCCCCAAATGATCGACGCTGATTATTCTATGCTGGTGTGCTCATCACACTTTAGTCTGATCCATCTCTTTTGCTCTTAACTGTGAACTAGTTTTAATCCATTTACGTTTTTCCTGACTTCTGCATTTTACCTTATTTTGGTTACTTTGAATTTAACTGTCATTGCTCTTTGGGTCGGTAGCTTCATCAAATTAGTCTTGACAATTTTGATCATCATGTATTTTATTTTGGGCAAAAGAGTAAATTTCTTCTCCAACGCATGTATTTTATATAATCTCTTGTTTCTCTTTTTCGTCTCAAAATCTTGAAATAAAACCTTAAACCCTAAATAATTTTGGTGATACAATTCACTTTCTATCATTAAAGTTAGAAGTTATTAGTACTTTGTTGTGTTTCTCCTTAGACTTCATTGTAAAAACTGCCACAAATTCACCATTGGAGATCAAAATCAAGAAAACTCCCAGTAGAGACTTATTTTGTTTAAGTGAAATTTGGGTGGTAGATTCACTCTGGAAAATTGAAAATTTACAATGTACAATTATGACCTTTTTGTTTTGGTTGTACGAGGAGTCTTGGAATCTTGGAATTTCCGGAGAGATAAGCATGTGTTTTACGTTACTTTGAACGTCTTTATTTTGTTTTGGGTCAAGTGAAAATTTCCAAGATAATACGTCCAAGTTGTGTGCGTTATGTTACCAAAATTTAAAGAAAATGTTTGAACACTCCCGTCGCCCAACGTATGGAGGAGCCCGGTGTAATCGACGAGCAACACATGGCAGAAAACGACTGGAAGTATGCGTCTGGCCCTGGCAGTGGACACTTGGTTCTTGGACCCAAGTCGACGTAAACTTGACTCAGTACCCAAGCGATCTGATTTGCGACTCATTATGTCTGACCCGCGACTGCTCAAAGGTTCCCGTGCGTGAAAATGCGTGTTAAGTTCTCCCTATCTAAGGTTATATATATTAAGCTGTTGTTATTTCTCTCTTGTTTGTTTATATATACAAGTCTATTTAAAAAATCTATTTTCTAAAATCTTACCCTTGATTTCTAAAGCCTTTTTTTAAAAGAGGCTAGAGGCTCAATCATAGTTTAGCTGTAGATGACCAAGAACAAATTAGCTTAGTTCATTTATCGTTGGAAAGTGAGTGTTGCACAATTGTTAGTCCTCTTCTTTTAAAAGTGTGATTGTGTCCAGTGATATCTAGTGTTTCAAATTCTCAAATTCTGTTGTTTGTCTTTTGTTAGCTAGTTTTTTTGGCTCAGATATGGATACTATTGATGTGAATTAGGACTCCCGAAGGGTATCTTGTTACTTTTGGAATAATAAGAAATTAAGCATACTTAAAATCGATTAATTATAAAATTGCTTTAGGCTAAGAATATCATATTGCATGTTGAAAGGAGGAAGCAAATTTTGTGAAACATGCAGTTCGGGTGAAGATGGAAGTTATCTCTCGTCGAACATGTGTGTTGATATTACAATGACTATTGCACAACTCTAGTATACGATTGCCTATATTTTATTTCTTGTTGAGAATAGGAAGAAACATTGAGCTTAGACTAGGGTGCTAGAGACTTATTGGGCTAGACAAAGTCTAGATCAAGATGGTGTTAGGAGATGGTGCATTTAGGGTCACGAAGGGTGGCCAATAGACCCAGCCCCAATGTTTGAGACCACGATGATTGTCAATTTTTGTGGTAGTATGGTCTTGTGGATTGTTATTAGGTTATGGATGCGAAGAGAGCCTTCTATAAGTGGTTGCTTAATGGGTATTCTTATATTCATCATTTTCTACATTTTTTTCCCGGGTGTATGATGTCATTGATCAAGGCCCAAGGGTGCTTGGGAGACATGATGCCACAAAGGGGGTGACCTAGAGCGTCTATGAGTCTGCAAAGTCATGCATAGTCATATCATGCATTTTGTTACCCCATTAACTTCTCTTATGAACTTCATATACTACACGAACATTAGTCTTTTATCGGAAATTTTCTTTTTAATAACTAAAATTTTTCCATAAAATCTTCTTCCTCATTTATTTTCTATGTTCTTTCCTCGCTAGTCTCTTGATCACACAATTGGTTCGAGTCTCAAATTTTGAGCACTAACACTCATGCAAGCAAACCCAGTAGGAATGATTCCTCCTTCGAGAACGCTAACATTAAAGATGGTAAAGAACAGAGGGTGAAGAAAATTGAACCCTAAAAAACTTAATAGAAAACCAAGATTGAAACAGAACAACTAATCTATTAACATTGTTGCCGAAGGTAAAGAATACTGAGTGACGGAACAACAAACCCACAATGAGCTCAATGTGACCTAGTGAAGCCAAGTAGTGAAGCCAAGTAGTGAAGCCAAGTCTGACCCAAAGTCAAATAAAAAACATAATGAATATATTACCAAAGTGAGCAGAACTACTCATTCTCTCAACGCCCAAAGGTTCATTGAATCCTCTTAAAAACTGCGCACACCAAAGAAAATACTTTATTCAATTATATATATATATATATATACAAAATTTTTAAAAGAAGTCACAGTAAGTTTACGAGATAAAAGAACATTCAAAATTTTTAAATGTTACGAGAAGATTCCCACGACCCATTCCCAAGTCATAGTAGGTTCATGAGACGAAAGCGCATTCCAATTTTTTAACTCATGGATCTGAACTGCCACTTGTTTTTTTGTCGTATTCATGTTATTCTTAAAACGAGAATATTAACTTTGAACCTTGCACCTCATTCCTTTTCTTCTCCTTGTATCCTCCATTTGTCACCATGTAGAACTCGCAACACATGCACTTCTTGATGTGAGAATAAACTTGAAAACAATATCAATAGTGGGTTCTTTTCAAACCCTATCTTACATAGATGCTTATAACAGAAACTTCGGTATTATCGATACACCTAATTGAATTAGGTAAACGTCACTCAATATATTTTGCAGTTCCTTATAATCAACTCGAGACGAACATAGAAAAAATTGTTGTATTTTTTATGTTATAAATAAAGATGTTAAAAATTATTTATAAAACATTTTAGTCGAGAAGATCACTAAATTTGAACGTGAACCATTTGATGGGAATACAATTGGTGGGTTGGCAAAGGACACTAAATCATGGAATAAAGAATAAGCTTTTAAGTAGCTGTAGCTTAGGCATGTTCAAAAAGTAATGTGGGTTTAGAAATTGATTCCAACCACTTAACAAAAGACACACAATAATTCAAAAGTAAGGTTGGTAATTTAGGAATATCCTTTGTGTTTGTCGCTTAATTTTCAAGCGTTCCATCTCAATCACAAATCATCGAACAACAATGATCAGATAAGAGTGTTTATGGGTTGAGTTCGATCTGATTGAGACATTTTTTAATGTGTTTGTCTTATGGGTTGAGTTTGATAGGATTAATGAGAGTGATCCTAAGAATATCTTAGTTAAAAAAGGTTTGAAAGAATCGAAAGTTACTATATATATATATAAACAAGATGCACCTTTTTTTTTAATAACTCAATCATAGAAACTTCAATCTAAACGGTACAGATTGGATTGAGATTATCGATCTAAGATAAACGTTGAGATTATTAATCTAAATTGATAAACGTGGCAACGTTCATCAATTTTTTTGGGTCATCTGATTTTGTAAATAGTCCGAGTTTTGATTTGTGTTTGTAGCTTAATCTTCAAGCACTACATCTAAATCTGATCGCACAATTGTTGACTTCTTAAGTGAGAAAAAAGCATACTAAAAAAGAACTTAAGGAGGTGAGTAATTAAATACCAAATCTTGATTCATTTATTTGAAACCAACCGATCACTTACATTTGGACAAAGTTGATAGAGTTTATTTTTTGGATCAATAAATTTTTTAAACACCCCTAGTTTGGTTTGTGTTCATAGCTTTATTTTCAAAAACTCGATCTAAGTCACAACCACAGAATAGTGAGAAATGACAAAACATATTAAAAAACGTCACGTGTTAGTTTATGAGGATAATTTTCATTCTTAGAAGCAATTCAAGATAAGTAAGTAACGGGACCATGTTCATTTATTTGATTACCAAACCAAAACTGTAACCGTTTAAGCCCACTACTAGTACATATTGTCTGCTTTGACACGTTACATATCGTCATCAACCACGGTTTTAAAACGGGTCTGATAGGGAGAAGTTTCCACACTCTTATAAATAATACTTCGTTCCCTTCTCCAACCGAATGATATCAGAGTCAATCATCAGATGCTGACCCTCAATCGGTAGGAGAGAATAACGAAACATTCCTTATAAAGATATGTAAATTTCTCTCCAATAGACGCGTTTGAAGGATTCTTATTTAAATGAGGTAAACGATAGTTGACTCGACAATGTTTAAGTGATTAGCATTAAGCAAATGTAAGAAGCTCCAAATCGAACAGATTACTCATTTCTTTACATGGAAAGGATAATGAATTACCAAAGTTATGAAACAAAGCCAAGCCAAACCAAACCAAACCAGTTTTGTTTTGTGTTCCAACGAGTTCATCTCACCCACAGATTCTTTTCCCTTTTTCCAATAATGTTCTTTCTTTTCCAATCTTTTAAAGCTCCATCTACACATCAAATTCCCTAAGCCATTGGCCAACCAAAACCAAACCCATTTGGCCTACCTCTCCTATAAATGCCCCATTGTGTTCAACCATTGCATAATGCACTTGTGAGAGAAGAAACAGCTATACAATATGGGTTCAATTGTGAACAATGGTGCTGCCAAGAGGCCTGAGTTGATAGCTCATGGAATGCCAGAGGCACTCAAGCTGAACCATAACTCTATGAAGAGATGCTTTGGTAAGCTTGTTGAGAAGGGGAATAGGAGCTTGAAGCTCAAGCAATTGATGGAGGAAATGGAGCATGTGGAGGGTGTTCTTGCCCATATTTTCGCATTTACTCAGGTCCTTCTAATCTCTCTCTCTCGGAATTGACCCGTGTGACTGACGATCTTATACCGTTGAATATACGGTTAGGAATCACAACTCTCCACAATAGTATGATATTGTCCACTTTGAGTATAAACTCTCTTGGTTTTGCTTTGGGCTTCCCAAAATGTAACGTACTAGTGGAGATAGTATTCCTCACTTACAAACTCAAGATCTTTCACTAAATTAATCAATGTGGGACTCGCTCCCAATAATCCTGAACATATACGAGAGAGAATTTAATAATTTTCTTTATTGAACATATCGCTCTTTTTCTATTTTGTCTTTTCATTGTCTCCTCGTAACTTTTATGTTATGTTTTCATTACTTATGTAGGAGGCAATTGTGACTCCTCCGTATGTTGCTTTTGCTGTTCGACCAGAACCAGGGTGTTGGGAGTTTATTCGAGTTAGTGCGCTCGATCTCTCAGTCAAATCTCTCACTTCTACTGAATTTATCAAATTAAAAGAGATTATTTATGACAAAGAATGGTAATAATATGTTTTTTTATTTTTTTTAAAATAGATTTTGTTTTATAAAAAAATGTGTAATTAGTTTCCATAAATGGATCATCCTTTAGGGCAAATGATGAACATGCATTGGAAGTGGATTTTGGAGCCATTGAATTCACAACTCCTCACTTAACCATTCCCTCCTCAATTGGAGAAGGTCTTAGCTACACTACAAAGTTTCTCACCTCAAACCTAAGTGGCAAATTGGAGAATGCACAACCGCTCGTCGATTACTTGTTATCCCTCGAGTATCAAGGAGTGGTATGATTTAAACCTTTGACCTTCAGATCGAGAATATATGTTTTAACTAGCTAAGCTATGCTCGGGTTTGACCGTTACTTTTTTTGTCACAGAAACTTATGTTAAACGAAACTCTAAACACAGTTTCCAAACTTCAAACGACACTGATTCTTGTGGATATTTTCCTCTCTACACTTCCTCCAGACACCCCTTACGAAAACTTCCATCTTAGGTGAGAAACTCTAATATCGCTTTCGATTTATCGAGTATAGTAATAATTTAGCATGACCCGTCATTTTCATTCGTAATCGTAATAATCTTTTCCAACTTTTGTGGAATCAGATTGAAGGAGTGGGGTTTTGAGAAAGGATGGGGAGACTGTGCTGGAAGAGTAAAGGAAACCATGAGATGTCTGTCTGACATACTCCAAGCCTATGATCCAACACAAATGGAAAAGTTCTTCAGCTGGCTTCCCACCATTTTCAACATTATCATCTTGTCTCCTCATGGATACTTTGGACAAGCTGATGTTCTTGGTCTACCCGACACCGGAGGCCAGGTACGAGTTTTCGTCAATCGAGAAGAAATCAAATGAAAACAAGAACGAAACGAAAACGATCTCGAATCGTAACCAAAACAGACTTTGACATATGCTACAAACAACCTCAAATGTTTTTGTTTGTTTTAAGGTGATGTTTTTTTTGTGGTTCTTTAAGGTTGTCTACATTCTTGATCAAGTTAAAGCTATGGAAGACGAACTTCTTCTCAGAATTAAGCAACAAGGCCTCAATTTCAAGCCTCAAATTATTATCGTAAGTTCTTCAACTTCGAGTCGAACTCGAGAGATATCTACTTCGATTCCATATTAAATCATCGAGTCGAATACGCAGATAACAAGACTTATTCCAGACGCCAAGGGAACCAAATGCAACCAAGAAATCGAACCAGTCCTTGGGACTAATTACTCTAAGATTGTAAGGGTGCCCTTTAGAACCGAAAAGGGCATCCTTCATCGTTGGGTTTCTCGTTTCGATATCTATCCTTTCCTCGAGAGATTTGCTCAAGTAAGTTCTAAACATAATTTGGATCTACATTATTTTGATGTCGTAGAATTATCATCGATCAAACGGGTTTGTGACATTGTGTTCTAACATCGTCGTTTCGTAATTTTACATTAGGATGCCACTGCCAAGATATTAGATCTCATGGGAGCAAAGCCAGATCTAATCATTGGAAACTATACAGATGGGAATCTTGTGGCATCCCTCATGGCCAGCAAGCTAGGAATAACCCAAGTATTGTGTTCTTCATATTCTCTTATATATGTTCTTAACAAATAGATATCAATTGTGACACAAAATTTATGAAAACAGGCAACAATTGCACATGCCTTGGAGAAGACTAAATATGAAGATTCAGATCTTAAATGGAAGGAATTGGACTCAAAGTATCACTTTTCATGCCAATTTACAGCTGATATTCTTGCAATGAATGCCACTGATTTTGTGATTGCAAGCACATTCCAAGAGATTGCAGGAAGGTTCGAAAAAAACCAGAGTATAATTTAGTAGTACGGTTAACTCGAGCATAGTTTAGTAGCTAAGATGAAAATGGTTTATGGTTTGCAGTAAGAAGAAGCCAGGGCAATATGAGAGCCACGAGGCGTTTACGCTTCCGGGGCTGTACCGAGTGGTTTCGGGCATCAACGTGTTCGATCCAAAGTTCAACATTGCAGCACCAGGGGCTGATCAGTCAGTGTATTTCCCTTACATGGCTAAGGAAAGATTCACATCGTTTCAACCAGCAATTGAGGAACTTCTTTTCAGTAATGTTGAGAATGATGTGCATATGTGAGTGTTTGATTGAAATATTTGGGATGTGTTTTGTAATTTTGCATATGAACACTGTTTTGTTTTTTGATGAAACAGAGGATATCTAGCAGATAAGAAAAAACCGATCATATTTACGATGGCACGGTTCGATGTCGTGAAGAACATCACGGGATTGGTTGAATGGTTTGGGAAGAATGAGAAGCTGAGAAATTTGGTGAATCTTGTTGTGGTTGGGGGATTCTTTGATCCTTCCAAATCAAAGGACAGAGAAGAAATGGCAGAGATAAGAAAGATGCATGAATTGATTGACAAATACCAACTCAAAGGGCAGATCAGATGGATAGCAGCACAGACTGATCGACGTCGTAACGGAGAACTCTACCGATGCATCGCCGACACGAAAGGAGCCTTTGTGCAGCCTGCTCTATATGAAGCTTTTGGTCTCACAGTGATTGAGGCAATGAACTCTGGCTTACCAACCTTTGCTACCAATCAAGGAGGTCCAGCTGAGATCATAGTTGATGGCATCTCAGGCTTCCATATCGATCCAAACAACGGCGCTGAATCGAGCAAAAAGATCGCTAACTTCTTCGAAAACTGCAAGAACGACCACGCCTACTGGACCAAAATTTCGAACGGCGGCTTGAAACGTATCGATGAATGGTAACTTCTCTCCAACCTACCTATGTTACATTGTTGAACTTAATACAAAACTCTAATCATCTTATCTTGTCTTGTCTTGTCTTGTCTTTGGCAGCTACACTTGGAAAATCTATGCAAACAAGGTGCTTAACATGGGTAGCACTTACACTTTTTGGAACCAATTGAACAACCACCAAAAGCAAGCTAAGCAAAGATACATCCAAATGTTTTACAATCTTCTTTACAAGAATTTGGTATGTTTCTCCTACAATTTCCCTCAAATCATTAAGATATTGAACCCCTTTTCATCGTTACATCGTTTTCCATTCGTTTCTCAGGTGAAGACCGTGCCGGTCGCTGTCGACGACACTGCGTAGCCATCACAAGAGTATGCAACCCAACAAACATGACAAGCTTAAGCAAGAAAACTTTCTTTCAAGAATGTTGCCTTTTCAACACAGTTTGTAATTTCAAGCAGTCATATATATTATGATTGGAATGTTTCCCTTTTCCCTTGTTGAAATTGAATAAAGGTTGTGTTCATCTTGAGTTGAACACAAATGGAGATTCTTGTGTTCATGTCACAATGATATTCAATATTAATCTCTTAAGAACATGTTCTACTAAAAGTTAAAAGGATTGTTCAATGTAATAAGAACATTTGTATGAACATGATTAGCAATCCCTTTGGTAATATGATTGTTCCTTGTGACTTGGCATCTTAGAAAGAATCCCACTTTTTCACATTTCTGCCTAAAGGATAGAACTTATTCCTTACACCTTATCCTAAGGGGTTCTTTGGAAAAGAGATTGACATGTTTTCACCACTCTTGATTCAAGATTTGAAAGGAATTTGCAATGTTAGTGACTTGTCTCAAGAGTATTGGAGCGATATTATACGTATAGTTATCGTTTTCATACGATTAATCTACGTGTTATGGTTGATTTTGGACAATAGGATCTAAACCTAAGGAATATAAGACAACTTGGGGTCAAGTGGAGACTCATGGGTTGGGTCAAAAGTACAGAGCCTACTAGGCCAAGAGGCTCGAAAACTCAACTAGGATCGGTTAGACCCAACCTGATCCAAGCCATGGTGAGCACATGTGGGTGTGCACCTTACACATCCACGACCCAATGAGTTATGAGAGGAGTCCAAGTTCGACTCTCTTTAACCCTTTTTTGAAGAGGAAGGAAACTCTAGGTCAACCCACATATAAGTAGTTATGAAAACGTCATTGAAGGTAACTAAACCCCATTCTTAAACTTGTTACACTTTTAACTATTTGGCTTATTTTTCCAAAAATCTAAATCCACTTTTGAATCACATGTAGGTTCGTTTGTGAGGATCGAGAATGTTCATCAAAAAACTTACATACCCACATGGAGGATGACCAAGAAGATGATGGTGTAAGATCTCACATCGGTTGGAGAGGAGAACGAAACACTCTTTATAAGAGTGTAGAAACTTTTCCTTAGTAGACATATTTTAAAAACTTTGAGAGAAAACCCGAAAGAGAAAATCCAAAGAAAACAATATCTGCTAGTGGTGGGCTTGGACAGTTACAAATGATATCAGAGCCAAACACCGTGTGACGTGCTAGCAACGAGACTGAGCCCCAAGAGGGGTAGACACAAGATTGTGTGCCAACAAGGACGTTGGGCTTCAAAGGGGGTGGATTGGGAGGTCCCACATCGATTGGAGAAGGGAACGAGTACCAACGAGGATGTTGGGACCTCAAGGGAGTAAATTGTGAGATCCCACATCGGTTGGGAAGGAGAACGAAACACCGAGTGTGAAAACCTCTCCCTTGCAGACGCGTCTTAAAAACTTTAAGGAAAAGCTCGAAATAGAAAGTCAAAATAAGACAATATCTGTAAGTGAGGGACCTGATCTGATTCACATGATTAAAAAAAACATGGATTTTCATTGAAACGACGAGAGAAAAGCTAAGTTTCTGCCCTCTCCACTTACAACATATATATTATTTTTTGTATATAACTGTAAACCTTAAAGTCACAGAAAGATTTGAAAAAAAAAAAAAAGAATATAAAAAGAAAATCAATTATAATTTGCCCAAATGGAACAAAGAGCCAAAGAAGCAATGCTAAAGAAAATGGCTGTCTTCTTCAAAATCATATTCAAACCTTCTCCTTTCCCCTTTGATCTCAATTCTTCTTCTTCACTTAACAATTTCTCCCCTTCACCATTATCATCATCATCTTCTTTTTCTTCTCCTTCAGAAAATACAGTAACAAAGATCATCAGAATTTCAAGAATTGAAACAATTTTCCTTCGTAAGCTCTTCCATGGCTTCTTCAAAGATGACCCATTGAAGAAAGAAGCTGTCTTTTGAGGTGTTCTTTCATGGAAGCTGATGAAATTTGGTGCCATGAAAGAGGTCAAGGTTTGAACTTTAACAGTCTCTGAAGGCATTGTTTGGTGGAAGAATGTCTCAGCTACTTGTCTTGTTGAGATGAATAGGCCATGGTTCACTTTGATTTCTTCGACCACCTCGAAACTCGGGGAGCTCGAATAGTTGACTATGGAGTTTCCTGATCCTTCCATGACGAAGTTGTTCGCATTCGAGTCGTCCTCGTTTATGAATGTGAGCGAGAAATCGTTCATTTGGCCACTGGCTGCTAATCAGAAATTTTGTTTTAGTTAATAAATTACGATAAATTTAATTATTAAAGAATTTATACGTTACCTTGTTCTTCAATTGGGAAGCTTGAAATATTCTCAATGGGAACTAGCTTGGATTCTTCCATGCAATTCTATATTCGAATCATGAAATCATAATCCCATTTTTGTGGAAAAATAGGTTGTCATTGAGAATACACATAAAAAAAATGAGAAAACATGCATTTTTAAATGGTTATCCAAGCAAATTTTTACAAATTTATTGTTTTTGAAATTATAAAGCTCTTCTAAAGTGGTTTTCAATGAAAAGGTAATAAATTTCAACAAACCCTAATATATAAAAAAAGTAAAAGTTTATACCTTGTCGAGATCTTTATTAGACATTCCGACCCATCGTAAGTTCTCCACTGGGATCTCGTCACCGACATTACCAACCTCTATACACTTAGAGAACGGATCGTCCCACGAGCTCTCGACATGAAATCTTGTAGAGGAGTTCCAATCATGGAAGCCATCTTTGTTTGCCATGAAATTGAAATCCTCGTTGGAACAACCATAAACATTGGCAAGCCCTCCATCCCATGTTGTTGTTTCAACTACAGAAGATTGGTTGGCAAGCTCTTGAGAGGCCTGAGCTACAGAAAGAATCTCTTGTAATATGTCGGTCGACGTCTCGCTCGAACCACCGAGCATGGTCGGATCCACCGGTTGTGGCATTTTGAAGTGATCGGAGTAGCTCGAGTTGGGAAAACCCTCCACCTCCAACGGTGGCAAAGTGAAACGGTGTTGTAACCTTGCACATTCTAATGCTATGTCCACCTTCAAGAACAACCCCATGAAGGAGTATCATAAAATTGATATGAATATTGAATAAAAAGGGAAACTTTGACCTAAATTGATACTCACCTTGGAAGGAGGGTATGGAATATTGGCATAACTTGGTAATGAAGGGGCTGAATTAAAGGCTTCTTGAGATAAGAATTGAGACCATTTTCCTTCTCTTCTTCCACCAAACATGTCAAATGAACAATCATTATTAACTTGATGGGATTGGAAGCCATCGAACGGCATCGAATAATTTGAGCTCTCGGGTTCTTCACATCTTCCTTCTGAGTAAAGTTCAGAAGACTGATCATTGTTAATGAATTGATTAGAAGACGAGGTTATATTACAATATTGTTGATTCTCTTCTATTTTTGGGGCTATTGTCGCACTCTTCTTGAACACCCGACAAAGTGCATAAGCATCCTGGATTGCAAAGAAAATAGTTGGTTAGAACAAATTACTCTTCACTCACAAGATTAAATTAATAGGTTATGATCGAGAAAAGTTAGAAAACCTGTAAGCCAGAAGAAGGGACATCACATTCCCGATCATCGAGACGATATTCGTGCATGACCCAATCAGTACGAGCGCCGTGCGGGGCTCGACCGCGATAGTAAACTAGGGTTTTCTTCATCCCAACCGCTCTCGATTGGGAATTCACTTTCCTATCTTTACCTGTAGCTTTCCAATATCCCGCTTTCGTTGCTCTATTAGTTCTTGACCCATTTGGATACTTTCTATCTCGAGGGCTGAAGAAGTACCATTCGAGATCCTTGCTAGGAAGCAACGACTTTCCTGTAACAGTTTGCAAAAAAAAAAAAAAATCAAAGAAAACCTAATTTAATTCATTTACTTATTTTTATGAACATGAAAACTTTCAAAGCATTTGATTCTAAGCTTTGAAGCCATTGATGCCTTTCTATAACCCATCGTTCATTTCTAGCTTTCTTTTTGACTCGACTGTTTAGGGTAATATTTGTCTCTACAGAGAGCACTTTTCTTTAATAAAGTTAAATCCCTCACCACAAACAAAATTTATTTCGAACTAAGCATACGTGATTCCAATCTCGTACCAGTAGAGATATATATATTCAAGAACTCCGTTGCTCGTAAAACATCGAGAAAAATCACAAGAGTACCTGGTAAATCCCATGGCTCACATTTGTAGAGATCGACTTCAGGGATGATCTCGAGCTCAATTTCCCGGCCATTGATCTTGCGTTTGAGATAGTACGCAACAAGTTCTTCGTCGGTGGGATGGAATCGGAAGCCGGGAGGCAATGAAACAGGAGCCATGGGATGAACAAAAGAGGAGGAGGAGGAGAGGCCTCAAAACAAAAACACTGAGACCAACCCTACCAAATGATTCACCTCCAAAACCCTACAAAAACACACATAAATATCATATGGGTCAGCTCAGAGAGAGAGAGAGAGAGAGAGAGAGAGAGAGAGAGAGAGAGAGAGAGAGAGAGAGAGAGAGAGAGAGAGAGAGAGAGAGAGAGAGAGAGAGAGAGAGAGAGAGAGAGAGAGAGAGAGAGAGAGAGAGAGAGAGAGAGAGAGAGAGAGAGAGAGAGAGAGAGAGAGAGAGAGAGAGAGAGAGAGAGAGAGAGAGAGAGAGAGAGAGAGAGAGAGAGAGAGAGAGAGAGAGAGAGAGAGAGAGAGAGAGAGAGAGAGAGAGAGAGAGAGAGAGAGAGAGAGAGAGAGAGAGAGAGAGAGAGAGAGAGAGAGAGAGAGAGAGAGAGAGAGAGAGAGAGAGAGAGAGAGAGAGAGAGAGAGAGAGAGAGAGAGAGAGAGAGAGAGAGAGAGAGAGAGAGAGAGAGAGAGAGAGAGAGAGAGAGAGAGAGAGAGAGAGAGAGAGAGAGAGAGAGAGAGAGAGAGAGAGAGAGAGAGAGAGAGAGAGAGAGAGAGAGAGAGAGAGAGAGAGAGAGAGAGAGAGAGAGAGAGAGAGAGAGAGAGAGAGAGAGAGAGAGAGAGAGAGAGAGAGAGAGAGAGAGAGAGAGAGAGAGAGAGAGAGAGAGAGAGAGAGAGAGAGAGAGAGAGAGAGAGAGAGAGAGAGAGAGAGAGAGAGAGAGAGAGAGAGAGAGAGAGAGAGAGAGAGAGAGAGAGAGAG